TACATTTTTCTGTATCTGTGCTACAACTGCAGAGTGGAGTAGTTGTGATAGAAACCATGTGGCCCCACAGCCTGAAGGATTTGCTGTCGAGCCTTATAGGAAAAGGTGCCTGGCCCTGACCTAGATGGTCTATGGCCTTGTAGTCGAGGGACCAGCAGCTGAGACCTGGGAGCTGGTTAGAAGTGCAGACTGTCAGGCCGATCCACAGCTCCCTGAGTGATTCGTACGTACATTCAGTTTAGAGAGTCCCTGGCTTAGGATGGCAGCAGGAGGGAGGGAGGGAGGGAGGGAGGGTAGTGCTGAGCCCCGGGCCTCTGGCGCAATGGTGTTGCTGGATGTTGGACTTGCACCAGCAGCAAAATCACTTCTCTTCCCTGGGTGGGGTGCTGCTTGAGTTCCTCACGGCAGCGCTGCTGCCTTCTGGGGCTGGGGTGGAAGGGCTTTCCCTGGAAGCTGTAGGAAGAGCACGTCCCTGCAGACACTCTAGTGTGCAGGTTGCTGGGCTGGGATTGAGGGGCCACGGCTGTCCCCAGCATTTGCTGGTTTTCCTGTTATGAACGCTTGCCCTGTTTCCTTATACAAAGAAGTAGTCGGATTAGGTTAAGAGCCAAGAGCCAAAGACCTTTTAGCTCTCAAAGTCCTACAGTTCCAGCATTCAGAGGAATCTACTACAATATTTTTATGTGCTTAATTAGAATATTAGGATCCTAAATGCAGCCCAGAATCTAGGACATCTGCACAACGGAGTGGAACAGCGCAAAACGCAGCATTGATCGGTTTAGGCTAAAGGAAGCAGAGTAGGATCTGGGGAGATTTTCATGACTTCCAGTTACATTTCTAGAAGTGGCTGGAAACTTACACGTGTATCTGCGTGGTCACTACTTACTCCCCTCTGTCTCCTCTCTGTCAAACAAGGGTAGCACCCTGATCTCTTCTACAAACGCATGGTGAGGACTGGTAGCATTTGTGAGTAAGCGCAGTGAACTGTGATCTTAGGAAAGGTTTTGTGCTACTTCAGACTAAAATGCTACATTGAGTTGCCTCTGAGATGCATACTTTTGCTGTTCTTTGTTTATAGCTGGGACAGATGGCGATCAAAATGGACTTGACCACCCATCTGTTGAAGTTTCCCTGGATGAAAACTCAGGAATGTTAGTAGACGGCTTCGAAAGGACCTTCGATGGGAAGCTCAAGTGTCGTTATTGCAACTATGCCAGCAAAGGGACAGCCCGGCTTATCGAACACATCCGAATCCACACAGGTAACAGAGCCGGCGAGGAGTGCGCTTCTGTGGAGGCAGGAGAGGGGCCAAGGAGGGCAGGCTGACCTGTGGTATAAGTAGTTCTGATAGTTTAAAAATGAAGGTTGACGTAAGGTTTGAATAGATGGGAAGTACTGTACTTTTAAAAAGTGATAGCATAACAACATGCACCCAGGAAGTGAGGCCCCTTGTAAAGCTTCCCCTTCCTCGGCCATCTTTCTCCTGCTCCAAATCATCTCTCAACCTCTGTCTTGCCATTTCTCCCCCATTTTTCTTTTGAAACAGGTGAAAAACCTCATAGATGTCACTTATGTCCATTTGCCTCTGCTTACGAGCGTCACCTGGAAGCCCATATGCGTTCCCATACAGGAGAAAAACCATATAAATGTGAATTGTGTTCCTTCCGCTGCAGCGATCGAAGCAACCTGTCCCATCATCGACGGCGCAAGCATAAGATGGTGCCAATCAAAGGTGCGAGGTCTTCCCTAAGCAGCAAGAAAATGTGGGGTGTTTTACAGAAGAAAACCAGCAACCTGGGCTATAGCAGAAGAGCATTAATCAACTTAAGTCCGCCTTCCATGGTGGTTCAGAAGCCAGACTACCTTAACGACTTCACCCATGAAATCCCCAACATCCAGACGGACTCCTATGAAAGTATGGCGAAAAGCACCTCAACTGGGGGCCTACCCAGGGACCCCCAAGAACTCCTGGTCGACAACCCCCTCAATCAGCTCTCCACTCTCGCAGGGCAGTTGTCCAGCCTGCCCCCCGAAAACCAGAACCCCGCGTCCCCCGACGTCGTGCCCTGCCCGGACGAGAAGCCTTTCCTGCTGCAGCAGCCCTCGGCCCAGGCAGTGGTTTCTGCCGTGGCCGCGAGTATTCCTCAGAGCGCCTCCCCCACCAGCCCCGAGCCTCGGCCGCCCCAGAGCCAGAGGAACTACAGTCCCGTGGCAGGTCCAAGCAGCGAACCCAGTGCCCACACGAGCACCCCGAGCATAGGAAACAGCCAGCCGAGCACGCCCGCCCCGACCCTGCCGGCCCAGGACCCGCAGCTCCTGCACCACTGCCAGCACTGTGACATGTACTTTGCCGACAACATCCTCTACACCATTCACATGGGATGTCACGGGTATGAGAACCCTTTCCAGTGCAACATCTGCGGGTGCAAATGTAAGAACAAGTACGACTTCGCCTGTCACTTCGCAAGAGGGCAGCACAACCAGCACTGACCGGACGTCACAGTGCTCTGTCCTTGGTTGTGGCTTCATGCGTTTTTTAGTTTTGTTTATTGTTGGTTTTTGTTGGTAGGGGGAGGACCCATCCCTAATATGCTAATTTAAAGTTTATACATTATATTTATAGAAAACAAAGTTGACAATAGAAACAAATGTTTTCCTTTTTTTTTTCTCCATAAAAGTTTGTTCTAATTTATATATTAGAACAATTAGACACATTGGTGTCTGTTTTTTCCTTTTATTTAGACTTTGATGATTGAAGTGCAATCTTAATCTTACAGGTATTCATTTAAACTCCCATGCTTAAGGTCCATGTAGACTTCAGAGCTTGATCCTAGTGGTGTTTCACTATATACGCAGCTAGATGTCATGTCTGCCTCATTTAAAAATGGTAGAATAAATCACTTTCTCACAAACTTTGTTACAACTTATTTCCATGTTTAGCAGAGGAATTGCCTTTAAAATTGCTCTTTAGATAGTTGAAATACTATCTAGTTCACTTAGTTTAAGTTGAATTGATAGTTTCAACTGATAGAAGTAAAGCTATTTCAGTATATAGTAAACCTTTTTCTTTTTTTCCATAAGGGGGGGATGTAAAACAGTTAATTCTTTTAAAATGAAAGCTATAAAAATTTGAGAGGAATGTCCTGAAATGAAATAAAACAAGGCTTTACATTGAAAATGGAGCTTAATATTTGAAAACCTGTTTATTCAGTCTCGTTTAAAAATGCATCAATTTGCCATTGGATTCATTTTATTATACTTGTAGTTTATTTTAAAAACCACAATACATGAGAATGCTGGAAATGTCAGGTGATTACCTATGAAGACGCCTTTTTTGTTCTTTTAGTTTGAACCTTGTATTTAAACGCTTTCTTCTGACGTCATTACTGTCAGGTGAGCTTGACAAGGACATTGAGTGTCTGTTCTCCCTCCTGTTCCTTTGATGACCAAAGAGGTAAGTGACAGTCCCATCTGGTTCCCGGAGACAGTCCTTCACGAAACACGAAATTCCGCCTCCTGTTTCCTGCCTCCGGCCTTGCACCCATTTGTTGTCCATAATTTCTCAGATGTGTGTATAGGAACACATGGGAAATGGGATGAAGTGTATTTTTAAAAACGAAACACATCCAAAACGAATTCTTCTCTTCAGAATTGGCCCCTTAGAACACTTAGTGTGACTTCAGGTTGTGATGCTCGTTGCCGTTGCACCAGTCTTTCCTGCGCGGCGACAGAGCCATGGAAGCCGACTGCCTCGACACCTAGTGGGAAAGGACTTACCGTGTGAAAGTAGATTTAACTTGTTTACAGAAATAAGACGTGCTCATTAATCTAGAGGAATTTTGAATAGGAGGCTGCTGTTGATATATTGTGTAATAACTCGCTTACCCTGAAGAGCGCTTGGTCAAACAATAAACTTACTGTTTCTAACTGTTGGTTTTTGTGTGCTTTGCAAGCATTTTACTTTTAATTTGGTTTAAAGCTTGGAGTGTTACTCATCGGGTTTGTAAAGAGAACACCCTAACGATTGAGCATTTATTAACCAGAAAGGACCACTACTCCTAAAGGGAGATGTTGAAGGCTTATGTCCACAAAAGCCCTACATGCCAAGGGAATGGATCTTCTGGCCCCAAATGCTAGGAAGCCTTTCAAAGGAGTTCTTGTGGGTGAATGTTTCATCTCAGCTCCTCTCAGTTGCACTGCTCAAAGCAGCAGCATCTTAGAGGGTTCCTCCAACTCGACCTCTTCCCTCAAAGCTGAGGCTCCTGCGGCCAAAACCTAGTCCTGCTTCGCTCCGTTGCTTTGACCGCTTAGACCAGGGTCCGTGCCGCCATTTCCAGATGCATAACTTCGCCCCTTTTCATTTATTCCCACAAAGCACGAGGTTGCTTTGGAAGCTTTTATTCAAATAAAAGCAATACGCAAAATAGAAAATGCAGGTTTTCGTGAAATAAAAGGAAGAACTCTCGTTAAAACCAGTTTATTAACTGCATTCTGGGCCAGATAGTGACAAATATATTTTTTCTGACAACTAAAGATAGATGTTTTGAAGGTGCATTTTACTTTCAATGTAGACATTTTTTCATAATTACAAACTCGAATGTATGACTCTTTTCCCTGAGACTGGGCGCAGTTGGTGTAACAAAGGCCTGATGCCTGGAAGTCAGTTACGGCTCAATGCACGGCAAGTCCTGGAAGCGAATCTGCCTTAGGCGCTCCGTAGTGTTTTGTTTTTGAGAAGATTTAGGGTTTCACTTAAATCTGCGTTAAATGTATCTTCCATTAAATATTGAGTATATTTATCCCATTTTATATTTAATCCTGTTTTATAGAAATGAGGTGTTTGGAAAGTTTAACATGCAATGTTTATAGTATTTTGCTGTTAACAGGCAATGTTCTGAAAGAATTTATTTTTGTTCAGTGAACATAAGTTTAGATTTTTAAAGTTGGTAGATAATTTATCTCCACTAATATTTTTTTAAGAAACTGAAAAAATTAATATGGAATAACTTTATTTCAGATTTTACTAATGTAGTATGAAGCTACAACTTCTTGAGATTCAAGTAAAGGCTAGACTTCTACTTTGAAAAAATTCTATTGGGTATTTTCCAGTGCTATTTCATTTTAGAAAAAGGTGTTTGCCATTCATCTGCAGAACTATTTGATAAAGGGAATATTGCTAAATAAATGTTCACAAATAAACCTCATTTTAAATTCTACAAAAATATTTATCAAATGGCTGTATTATTTTTAAAAATTCCCTACTAAGGATTTTTTCACTAAATAGTTTTAGAGGGTATATGATTTCTAGAACATGTTTTTGTTAATATGTACTTTGATGTAAAGAACATACTTTGTATGCAAAACGAGTATGATTGCAAAAACTTGTCTAGGGATTGCAGAAAGAGATCAATGCTGAAATACCATGCCCAGTGTGTAGTTCATGTTGTGCAAGAAGCTTTGCCTCTGTAATATGTGAATAAAAAGTAACACTTCCTAATGTTTGCCATTCTTTTTTGAGAACTAGGATCCAATTAACTTTTTAATTAAAACACAAGGTTTATGGCTACATTGTTGGAATTTGTAGAATGCCTTACCCATAAGTAGCTCTGTCACATGGCTTAGAAACAAAAGCTCCACACACCCACATTGTCTCCTTTCTAGTTTCTTCGCTTTATTAAAGGTCCTTGCAGGCTGCCTCCCGCCCCACCCAGCCCTGCGGTCCCGGCACAGCAAGGAGGGAGGCAGCCTCTGAGGCTCCGTCATCCACGTCACGTGCGACGGGGATGACCAGTCATTTCTGTTACGACAAACGGATCTTAATTTTTATGAACAATAAGTCTGGCAACTCCTGTCATTGCCCTAGAGAATATGCAGTAATACAAAATTGTAGTCAGTTTGCGAAATCTTCACCAAAATCAGACCTTTGATTGGAAATGGAGACGTTAATGCTGCTTTGGAAAGTACTTCTGCACGAGGCTGTCTTTCTCATCATGAAAAAGAGCAACCACGTCGGGGACGCCCAGGGCCCGCGAGCACAGGGGTGCCTTGTGGCCGAGCCTCAGGTCCCGCAGCAGCTCTGCTCGGAGCTGGTTCAGCGCCGCCGCCAGGAGCTTCAGGTCGGGAGGCCGCACGCGCGCATCTAAAACCAAGAGTCTGGGTCACGGGAGTCACACCAGCGGGAGAGCCACTGGGTTACTCAGACAAGCGGTCAGACCCCGTATGTACAGCTGAGCTGGTGGCAGACAGAAAGTCCTGTTAATGTGACACAGCAAGTCCTTTAAGTGACCTGCTATGAAGTTGCTGAGCAGGAAAGAAGCCTGAGGGGGAGCTTGTTGACGAGAGCCGACCTCACATCCGTGAGCTGACAGGCACTGGGGCCTGAGACAGAAGGACCATCCGCCCTGGGAACGGCTGCTACCCAGCACACTGTCCTGCGGCTTCCTACCGGATGGAGCGTCTGCCCGTCAGCCCACATGCAGTTTCCATGCGAACGACAACACAGTGGCTGCAGTACACTCATACCTGCACCCAGAGCCCCAGTCGCAGAACTGCGTCATCTCCAGCTATCACCTTCCTGCTCCCCAACCCCCAGCCCCCCAACCCCCCAAGCCCCCACCAATGTGGTGGCTGAGTCTAGATGTCCCTGTCCTGACGTTTCCGGGGCCTGGGCTGCCGTGGCCATTCTTGGGCTGCTCTCCTTCTGCATAATGTGCTCGTGGTTCACCCATGGAACGTGCATCAGCGCTTTACTCCTTTCTATGGCGAACGGCCCACTGTATGTGATACCACATTTTCTACCGATGGTTGTCCGCCGATGGACATCTGGTTGCTTCCACCTGCTGGCTCTTATGAATGCTGCCGCTGGGAACGTGTGTGCCTCAGAGTGGCACTGCTGCCCTAGCTGGTTTGGCTCAGTGGATAGAGCATTGGCCGAACTGAAAGGTCCCAGGTTCGATTCCGGTCAAGGGCACAGGCCCAGGTTGTGGGCTCGATCCCCAGTGGGGGACTTGCAGGAGGCAGCCGATCCAGGATTCTCTCTCATCATGGATGTTTCTCTCCCTCTCCCCTCCTCTCTGAAATCAATACAAATATATTAATTTTTTAAAAAAAAGAGTGGCACCGCTGGGTCCCATGGTAACGCTGCCTATCCATTCCTGCGGCAGCCATGGGGCTCCGGCCTCACCACCCTCAGCAGCACTGACCTTGCTGGCTCCGTGTCCTGGGCTGCAGGGGCCCTCCCTGTGTTTGATTTGCATTTCCCTGGTGGGTAACGATACCACGCGTGTTCACAGAACAGAACTACCCACATACCTTTTGCTTCCTTCATTGTCTCAGAGACGATCCTTCGCAGCGTCTGATCAGCTTGGTGAAGCGTGTTGGTTGAACAAATAATTCTGTCAGATTCCTATGTGAGAGAGACACTGTGGTGAGAACGGGTGTAGTTCAGACAGGGCCTGGCTGCCTGGAGGCGGGAGTGGTCTGTTCCTCCTTCTCCCGGAGGGAGGCTCTGAGTGAGATGCGTCCGGCTGGACCGGGCAGGGGTGCGGGTGAGTGTCCACTGATGGGCTCGCGGGGAAAACACGAGGCCGGCTCCCAGTGCCTGTCAGTCTGTGTGAACAGCCCCCCCACCCCGCCCGCAGTGACCCACACAAGGCTGGATTTCCAAAA